GATCTCTTTATTGTTACATAATGACCATTTTAATCTTTTCTACTGTTTTGACGTAAAGTCTATTTTGTCTGATAAAAAGATAGCTATCCCCTCTCTTTTGGTTCCCACTTGCATGGAATATATCTTGTCATCCCTTCACTTTGAGCCTCTATGTGTCCTTAGAGCTCAAGTCACTCTTTGGTAGGTAGCATAGTTGGGTCTTATTTTTTATCCACCTGGCTACTCTGTGCTTTTTGACAAAGTTAAATCTGTGAGTATTTAGAGACTTATTGATACTTAATGACTAACTAATGCCATCTTATTATTTTCTGCTTGTAGTTCCATTTCTCCTTCCTTTGTAAATTGATGAGTTTCTATAGTGGCGTGCTTTGATTCCCTTCTACTTATCTTTTGTGTATTTATTTTAGTGTTTGCTTTGTGGCTCACATGAGGCTTACATAAAACATAGGAATAATAGTCTATATTATGCTGATAGAAATTTAACTTTGATCACATTAAAATCTATCCTTTTATTCCCCCCTTCAAAATTGTTGATGTCACCATTTGTATCTTCCTTACTGAGGCATAATGGACATATATCATTATATTAGTATCAGGTGTATAACATAATGACTTGATATTTATATCTATTGTGAAATGATCACTATAATAAGCCTCGTTAATGCCTTCCAACATAGTTATAAATTTTATACTGTGCATCTTTTTATACTGTGTACCCATAACAAATGGTTGAAGATAGAGTTATTTTTAATACTTTTGTCCTTTAACTTTTATATTAGTGTTAAGTAGTAGTAATGTATTCTGAGTGTTGTATCTTACTTTGACTAGTATGTCACATATATTCATATATATTCATATTATTGATTATCATCCTTTTGCTTCAGCTTATAGAACTCCTTTCAGCATTTCTTATAAGACAGGTTTGGTTTTGTTTATTAGGAAAAATCTTTATCTCACCTTTACTTCCAAAGGACAACCATGCAGGGTAAAGTATTACTGGTTGAAAGTTTCTTTCTTTCAGCACTTTGAATATAACATCTCATTCTCTACAGGCCGGCAGAGTCTGCTGAGAAATTCACTGATGGCCTTATGGAGGTTTCCTTGTATGAGGGAATATTTTTCTCTTGCTGCTTTTGTAATTATCTTATTTTCTTTGGTTTTAGATAGCTTCATTATTATGAGTATTGGAGATCATATTGAGTTGAAATTTGAGGTATCTATTAGCTTCATGATTGGATATCTAAATCTTTCTCTAATTTGGGAAGTTATTAGCCATTATTTCTTTTTTATATTAAATACTTTTTAAAAATTAAGCTATTATTGATATACAATCTTATGAAGGTTTCACATGAGCAATGTTTTAGTTACAACATTCACCCATATTATCAGGTCACCCCAACACCCTATTACTTTCACTATCCATCAGTGTAATAAGATGCTATAGAGTCATTACGTGTCTTCGTGACATATACTGTCTTCCTGCTAACCTACTTATATTATGTGTGCTGATTATAATGCTCCTTAATCCCCTTCCCCAATCTCCCCACCGAGACTATCCGAACAATTCCCTTTGGTAACTACTAGTTCCCTCTTGGAGTCTGTGAGTCTGCTGCTGTTTTGTTCCATCAGTTTTGCTTTGCAGTTATACTCTGCAATTGAATGAAATCATTTGCTACTTGTCTTTCTCTGCTTGGCTTATTTCACTGAGCATGATACCCTCTAGCTCTATCCATGTTATTGCAAAAGGCAGGATTTGTACTCTTTTTATGGCTGAATAATATTCCACTGTGTATATGTACCACACCTTCTTTAGCCACTTGTCTACTGATGGACACTTACATTGCTTCCATATGTTGGCTATTGTAAATAGTGCTGTGATAAACATAGGGTTGCATATGTCTTTTTGAATCAGGGATCTTGTTATCTTTGGCTAAATTCCTAGGAGAGAAGTTACCAGGTCACATGGTATTTCCACTTTTAGTTTTTTGAGGAACCTCAATATTGCATTCCACAATGGTTGAACTGTTTTACATTGCCACCAAAAGTGTAGGAGGGTTCCCCTTTCTCCGCATCATTGCCAGAATTTGTTGTTCGTTGTCTTTTTGATGTTGGCCATCCTAACTGGTGTGAGGTGATATCTCATTGTGGTTTTAATTTGCATTTCCCTGATGATTAGCAATGTGGAGCATCTTTTCATGTGCCTGTTAGACATCTGAATTTCTTTTTTGGAAAAGTGTTTGTTCAGATCCTCTGCCCATTTGCTAATTAGGTTATTTGTTTTTTGGGTGTTGAGGCATATGAGCTCAGGGAGGACTTCATGAAAGAGATAGAAACTTTGAAAAATACACTATCTGAAATGAAACATACTATGGAGGGATTTAAAAGCAGATTAGATGAGATAGGGGAGATGGTAAATGAAACAAATTAGAGAACAGCTACTACAAAGCCACAGTAATGAAGACAATTAGGTACTGGCAGAAGAACAGACCCATAGACAAGTAGAACAGACTAGAGAGTGCAGATATAAACCCATATATATATGGTCAATTAATAGATGATAAAGGAGACATGGATATACAGTGGGGAAATGACAGCCTCTTAAACAACTGATGTTGGCAAAACTGGACAGCTACATGCAAGAGAATGAAACTGAATTATTGTCTAACACCATACACAAAAGTAACCTCAAAATGGATCAAAGACCTGAATGTAAGTCATGAAACCATAAAACTCTTTGAAGAAAACATAGGCAAAACTCTCTTGAATACAAACATGAGCAACTTCTTCATGATCATATCTCCCCGGGCAAGGGAAACAAAAGCAAAAATGAACAAGTGGATTATATCAAACTAAAAAGCTTCTGTACAGCAAAGGACACTATCAGCAGAACAAAAAGGCATCCTACAGTATGGGAGAATATATTCATAAATGACAGATCCAATATGGGGTTGACATCCAAAATACATAGAGAATTCACATGCCTCAACACCCAAAAAGCAAATAACCCAATTAAAAAATGGGTGGAGGTTATGAACACTTCTCTAAAGAAGAAATTCAGATGGTCAACAGACACATGAAATGATGCTCCACATCACTAATTATCGGGGAAATGCAAATTAAAATCACAATGAGATATCACCTCACACCAGTTAGGATGGCCACATAGAAAAGACTAGGAACAACAAATGCAGGTGAGGATGTGGAGAAAGGGAAACCCTCCTACACTGCTGGTGGGAATGTAAATTCGTTCAAACATTGTGGAAAGCAATATTAAGGTTCCTCAAAAAACTAAAAATAGAAATACTATTTGACCCAGTAACTCCTCTTCTAGGAATTTACCCAAAGATAACAAAATGCCTGATTCAAAAAGACATATGCATCTCTATGTTTATCATAATACTATTTACAAAAGCCAAGATATGGAAGCAACCTAAGTGTCCATCAGAAGATGAATGGATAAAGAAGAGGTGGTATATTTACACAATGGAATATTATTCAGCCATAAAAAGAATACAAGTACTACTATTGCAACAGTATGGATGGAGCTGGAGGGTATCGTGCTCAGTGAAATAAGCTGGGTGGAGAAAGAAAAGTTCCAAGTGATTTCCCTCATTTGTGGAGTGTAACTACAAAACAAAACTGAAGGAATAAAACAGCAGCAGCCTCACAGAACCCAAGAATGGACTAACAGTTACCCAAAGGAAAGGGACTGGGCAGGGTGGGTGTTGAGGGAGGGAGAAGGGGATTAAGGGCCATTATGATTAGCACACATAATGTATGGGGTGGGGCACGGAGAAGGCAGTATAACACAGAGAAGACAAGTAGTGACTCTAGCATCTTACTATGCTGATGGACAGTGACTGAAATGGGATTGGGAGGGACTTGATAATATGGGTGAATGTTGTAACCATAATGTTGCTCATGTGAAACCTTCATAAGAATGTGTATGAATGATACCTTAATAAAAAATAAAAAAACTACATCACTATATAAGGTTGTATGCTTAAGAGAAGCCTTTGCTAACAGCAGATGAGAGGTATATTCGAAAATATATCTGATGAATGTAAAACTTTAGTTTAATCCCAATTATTTTAGATGAGTGAGATAACCAGAGTTTGGTTTCTTAACTTCTCCTTACTAAGAAATGAGGCTCAAAGAGGTCACACACTTGCCCTATATCACACTGTTTACTGGAAAGAGATGTATCTAAACACTCATTACTGACCCCATTCAGTGATTCCCTCTCTTATCCATTACACCCTCCAGTCTGGAGTGGCTGTTAAAACACTTATATAGCTGTCCCATCAGTTTTTATTAAACATCTCAGTTTTATTACCTGTGATATGATCAATGTGACCTGCTTCTAAATCCCAAAGACAAAGTGATGGGACAGCTATTGTATACATTTGAATTTTTCAATATATTCTAAGTCAGACATAACATATAATTAAGCTAAATGAAGGAGGTGAACATTGGTGTCCTTCCTAATTTCAAACTCAGTAGTTCTTAGTTAGTGATTGTTGGGATACCGGGGAACAGAGATGAGGACTGTAGTGTGGAATGAGAAGTGTGAAGTCAATTGCTGTCTGAGTTTCTGATCAGTATTGCATTATAGTTACTACTACTTTTTGTTACATCTATGTAATATAGATAGTATACTGATTCGTTTGGAATAATCGCAAACTACATTTCAACTTGGATAGGAAGCTAAGGCAGAAGAAACAAGGCCATGGCTGTTTGTTTTTTTTTTTTAACAATATAGAGCCATTTGGATAATGTTGCTGTTAACCTTATTTTCGATTTGGGTACAGAACAAAGCCTGCCAGGCTTAAAGAGAAGCTATTTTTGTAATTCTTGATCTACCTACCCCAGAAGCTTTTTAATATTGAGTAATGATAAATCTCCCTAGGGGTACATCATACTTTCTAGAATGAGTCTATTATTCCTGCAGTGATTATTGGGATAACATAATTTGCTTAAGCTTTTCTTTTTCTTTTTAGCTTCTAGAGGTGCCTCATTTGCTTGTTTTGATGAAATAAATTCAAGAGTTGATAGATATGGAAACTGTGGCCAAAATTCTTGTAATTATGTGTATGTATTTATAAATTATAATTTTGTTTGGAATGTAGGTTATATATTGCTAAGATCCTAGAATGTACTGTTAGGTACACACTAAAATGGCATGTTACACCAGTTTTTCTTTATTTCAAGATCTGAGTTGAACAGTATCACCCACTGCCTGCAAATAACATGTGTTAAGCACCAGCAATGATGGAACAATGATACTCATAGTAACAATTGTTTATCTTATTTTACTAATGAAAAATTTAAAGACCAAGTGACCATTTGCTCATATTTCAGAAGCTAATATAAAAGGAGCAGGGCTATCACATTCTAAATATCTTTAGTTTTTCCCTTGCCACATTACTTCACAAAATGAAAAGAGCCATATCACATGTAAGTAAGGGTGCTCCAAATATTTACTGAGAGAGAATTGTTGAAGCTTGGCTTTTAAATTATTACAACACATTTTAAACTTAGCTCTATCAGAAATTATGTTATTTTATTAAATACTAAGAGATTTTTTTTCTGCCTTATGCTTCTAGTAATCTTCTATGTGGAAAATTAGTTTGTGCCTGGCCACACAAAGCATTAGTATCACATACAAATCTATCTGTGATTTACTCACATGTATGAGAGGAAATGTGTGTGTCTACATTTTGGCACAGAGACAAGCCAATTAGAAATACATTCACGACTATTTCTGCCCCCAAAGATAGAGATGATACATATGTAGAAGATGGCACTGTGTGTGGTCCTAATATGGTAATTAGAACAACAAAATTTCAGATGTTTTTAAAGTTATTCTTTACGGTTATACTCATTTTGACAATTTGCCAACCAGTGTGTTTTTGAATAGCTTTTTTGAGATATCATTAACCATGAGATTCCCCTTATAAGTAACTGTCACCTCTTTCTTGCTGCTCTTAAGATTCTTTCCTAATCTTCGATCTTCCCAAATTTAATTACTATGTGTCTTGGTGTTGTCTTACTGGGATTCATCTTGTTAAGGGCCTCTGTACTTCCAGGACCTGTATGTCTATTTCTTTCCCAAGATTGGGCAAGTTTTCAGGTATTATTTCTTCAAATAAACCTTCTGCACCTTCGTCTTTCTCTTCTCAATCTGCGTCCCCTACTATGCAAATATTGTTCCATTTGGAGTTGTTACGCAGCTCTCTCAGCATCTTTTCATTTTTAGAAATTATTTTTTCTCGCTGTTGCTCAGCTTGGTTGCTCTGCTATTTTCTCTCCTCCATCACACTGGTTCTTTGCTCTGTTTCCAGCTGTCTGCTATTCATTCCCTCTCTTTGACTTTTTCATTTCAGTTTTTGTGTTCTTCACGCTGAGTGGCTCTTTTTTATATTTTCTGTCTCTTTGTTGGAAGTTCTTGCTGAGGTCACTGATTCTTTTCCCCAGTTCAGTGAACATCTTTATGACTGTTACTTTGAAATCTTTATCAAGAAGATTGCTAATCTACAATTTTCTTTATCCATTCAAGTGACTTTCATTGTCTACTTTCATATTCTGAAACAGTCATATAACATTAGGGTAAAACTGTTCTGCCCTTTGTGTATATATACACAATCAAAAATATATACAGATTGTGGCCAGACAAACTAACTTGTTCAGGCATAAGAAAAAAACAACAACAACTCCAAAACAACAAAAAACAACGAGAAGAAAAAAATCCAGAAAAATAGAAAAGCAGACACGTGGCAATCACCCCCAAAGCTAAGAGAGTACAAGAAAAGACATGTGTATGCTTAAACGGTTCAAGGTGAACATTTGTTGGGCAAGAAATGTATTTGATTTAGCAGATGCATCCATGTAGGCATCTCACTGGGGTCATAAAAACTGTCAAAATATGTTTAAAAACATGACTTATACAAATATAAATTGGGCACATATTAAATACTTATTTAGTTCATTAATGAGCGAATTAAGTTGTTAAAGGTAGTTTGGAGTGTTTGAAGAATTGTATACTTAGAGGCATTAGGAATACAATGTCGAAATACAGTTGCTGGATTTTATGTAAAACCTTGATAATGATGAAAAGAGGAATGAAACCATAATTTGGGGGGTTATCTTTTCAGTCAGACAAAAATCATTTACATACCTGCCAGACAAAACTACATGTTAATGTATAACTTCACAAAATGTAGGCTTCTTTCAGTAATGAGAAGCAAGTTAAACAAAGCACCTTCCCCTAGATAAATAGTCTTTAGTTTGGCCTCAGATGGCTCTCCTAATAAATGTTCAAAAATGACATTGAAAATATGCATGTTTCTTTATTTACATGTTGTAGACAATTTTTCTTTACTAAATATACTAGCAGTATTCCAGTAATGTTTGTTAGTAATGATCTCCACACTTGTGTTTAATAGTAACATACTTCGAAATAATTTTTTTACAAATCATTTTTGATTTTCTGTAATATGCAATCAAGTGATTTTACAAACATAGGGAGTAAATTTTTAGCCAATATTTGAAGATCTTGTTTGAAAGCTACTTTTGGTGGAGTAATGATTAAGCATTTTGGGACTGTTTTTGCTACATTTTTTGAATTGTATTTAATTGTTTCAGTAGAAAAGCCAAATTTATATTCATTTTAACTTTTCAGAATGGACTTTGATTTTTTTCTCAGTAGATGGATTTTTTACTTATACTGAATACTGTTATTATAATATTATATTCTGCTCCAAAATAATCCATATAAGACAGTATTAACAGCTAATAGCATAATAATTAGAAATAATTAGAAAGTTCTAATCTCTATATTTTTAAAATATAAAAAAAGTTTAATATTCTAATTAATCCTAGAAAGTATTAATTCCAGAAGATATGGAAAGTTAAATTAACACATTTTTTGAGAGAAATTCTCAGGGTGTGCTTGCTAAATTGAAATTTACTCCCACATAATATATTTTGATAATAGCACATGCAAATAACCAGAGTATCTGTTACATCTTGCTCATTTGGAAACATATGGAATACAAATATCATATGAGGTCTCTCTCCCCCTTGAAATCTAAATGATGTTTGCTCAAATCTCTATTCCAGAGTCTTGATCATTCTTTTTCTGTTTGCCCTGTTAGTATGATCCCAAGACAAAACACAAAACCCTTTCACAAAATGTCAAAGTAAATGAAAATTTTTATATGATTGAGAAAGGTCACAAAAATTAGTGCCATAAATTAGAACAATGTAAATTCATACATTAAACATCATTTTTCTTGGAAGGCCTTTTAAGGCATCTCACCGGTGGGAGTCTCTCATTGTCCTGTGACCTCATATAATTGTCTGTTGTCCTTGCTTTTCTTTCTCCTCTTTTTTTTTCACATGGATGGTAAACCGTCTCCCTTTGCTGCTCATACCCATGATTTTAAGACCTCAACCTTGCACCTGATGGTTCTCAACCCTGACTGTTTACAATAGCCACTGGACCTGGCCCCGGAGCTTTTGATGTGTCTCAGATGAAACCCAGGCATGGATATTTTTTAAATGCTCTTCAGATAATTCTTGAATTCAAGAGAATAATCAAGTTATTCTTCCAGATATTTCTCTTTCTATATCTAATCTTCTAAGTATAAGTTTGTATTGTTCTTTCTATATCAACACTGACCTTCTTACTAAGAGAACTTCTAGAGCTCGATGATAAGAAAATAAAACTTACAACTTCTTATATGATCACATCTTTACAATCTGAAGGCACATAGCTCTTCTCACATTTATTTGAAGGCAGTCACAATTATTATTCTATCTTTTGGATTTTTATGCCAATTTTTGGTAATATGAATTCTGAAAATTTCTTGAATCTTTCTTATGTGTTATCCATGTGCACAATCTAATTGTTTGACTGACTTTTCCACTTGTTTTGTTTTTAGTTTTGTATCAACTTCAGCTGTGTAGAAATCTGATACCGGGTCAATTATGTGAGCTGTAATAATTCTTTACATTGCAATGACCATGGAGTAATTCCCATCTTTAAACACCATGCTTTGAATAATTTAATAAACAGTTCAGAGATTTTAAAAAATCATTGTCATGCTGCTTGTTGTCACTTAAGTCTGTAATTACAGCTTTAATCTCATTTTCTTGTGAAATCTTGTGAAACTACTTATTAGAGAGGATAAAATAGAGGCACTTAAAGTGATTGTGGATGAATGTTTGGAAAAATATATGGGTTGGATGTGTCATACATAACATGTAGGAAGAATTATATAACCAAAATGATCAGTTTTTCACAGAGAGAAGGCATAACCTGGCAAATGAAAGTCCTCAGAATTTTCTTACTAGTCTTGCCTGTTGATTGAGAGTCTGGGATGTTCTATGAAGCTAGGAAGTAAATGATAACTAGTAGCATGTTACTGGTAATTGCCAATATTTGGATCTGGCTGTGAAAGAATAAAAAAAAATGACTTGGCAGCAGAAGCTAAATGAACTTGACAAAGTACAGGCAATTTCAAGCGAAAATTTGTGAAAATTTATTGAATTTGTTGATTTAAGATAAATTCTCTTAAATATCTGTTGAATAAAAGAATATTAGTGTTCATCTGGCTCAGACAGGCGGCACTCACCGCGCGGGGGGCCCCGCGGGACGGGGGCCAACGGGTCGGGGGGAACGAACAGACCAGCCCACGCGCCCACCGGCCCAAGCTGAGGGGTCGCGGGCGGAGCCGAGAGGGGGCGACCGAGTGGAATCCCGCGCCGCCCCGGCCGCGCGCGGAGATCGCGAGAGGCGAAGCGGCGGGCTCCCAGGCTCCCCGAGCGCTCGGCCCCGCGCCTCAGTAGTAGCAAAGTGTCGCCGCCGCCGCCTGCACGCGGGTCCACGGCTGGCAGCCACAGCGCCGCGCGGTCGAGGGCCTCAGACACGCGAAGGCGCCCGGAAAGCACAAGCGGTCCCAAGTTGGCGAGCCGGAATGTGAAGAAAAACATTGCCCTGCCCGGCCTCCGTCCCGACCCCACCCAGCCGCGCTCCCACTGGCTGCCTGCCCCGCAGCGCCGCGGGATCATTGGCCGCGGGGTCCGTCAGTCAGGGGCGGGCCGGTGCCGCGGCGAAGGCAGCCATTGGGCGCTCGCGGAGAAACGTTAAGTACCGTTAGTACCGTTGCTACCGTTGCTACCGTTGCGAGTGCCGGCGGGAGAGAGCGCTCCCGCGGCACCCTGCGTGCTTCGGTCCGTCGACCCTGCCCGCCGTCCCGTCTGCGCAGCGGAACCGGCGGAGACCAGATGTTGATGGACCCGCGAAGTTCTGGGCTCTCGGTGTGCTCGGCTGCGCCTTCCTCCAGATACACGTGCGCTGGCGGCACCGACCTCGCCCCCAGCCTCGGATCGCCTCCTCGCGCCCGCTGGGCTCCCGGTGCCGTAGTTGCCCCTACTCGGCTTTCCCGCAGCAGGCGGAGGGCCAAAGCGGTCCAGGTGAGGGAGATCGACCCGGACTTCAGGCCGCTGGCCCGTCCGGACTTCAGCCAGTCGAGCTCTGCCACCTCCAGCCGGTGCCGTCGGGCGGCGCGACCGGGAACCCCGACGCCGCGCGGGACTGCCTTCGGCCTCGGCGGCCGCTGAGGGCAGCCGCGCAACGCGTGGGGCAACCTGTCCCACGCCGACCGCATCGCCAAGGCCGTCGAGAGCTCGGCGGAGAAGCGGCTCCCGCTGCTGATCTGCGGTGGAGGGTCCAGAGCGGGACCCACTTCAGGGATGAGGGCGACAGCGACGGCCCTGCACGCTGGAAGGTAGGTGGCCGTGGTGCGCGGCCGGACCCGGACGGGGCGCGGGGAACCTGCCCCCGCCTGAGGTCGCGGTGGAGCCGGTCAGGGGGCGGCCGTGCAAGTGGCTCGGCGGGCAGCGGGTGGCTCGGGGGGCTGGGAAGCGGCCGACGCAAGTGGTGGGCTCGCGGGGCCCGGCCGGGGTCGGGAGTCGGCGCGCCCCGCCGGAGGGGCTGCCCGGGAAGGGAGGGAGCGGAGCGGGTGCTGCCGGTGCGGACGCCCGACCGGCCGGCGAAGTTCGCCGGGACAGGGGTGTAGGGGCTCGCCGGAGCCGCTGCTGGTCTGTCCGGGCCCAGCTGGTGAGCGCGGCTGCTCTCCGCCCCGCTGCGCGCGTCAGCCCGGCCTGGAGCCGTGCCCCTGCTCTGCTCCCGCCGCCCGGGAAGGGGCCGCAGGCGGAGGGGCCGAGCCGGGCCGCGCAGACGGGGAGGCCGGCGGGCGTTTTGCGTTGTGTGGATTTATCCGGCGGGGGGCCTCGAGGGGGAGGGCCCGGCGAGCTGAAATTCAAGTGTGACCCGCGGCGGGGCGGCGGGGGAGGGGCCTCCTGGAGGAAGCGCCTTTGAAATAAAAAAATGTTTCATGAGGTATCTCGTGTTTTTTATGTGGGAATGAAGTTTCTTTTCTTTGGTCTGGGAACTGACAGTGCATTTTCTTGTATTTAAAAGTTTATATCTTTCTGTCGTTTCGGTTTGTAATCTGCAGCTGAGTAATTTATAACTAGCCACAGAGATTCCGAGACAGGGACCGTGGGTGTAGTCAGAGTAGCGTGAGGGCCTCTGGAAAAAGACCCCTACCAAAACTCCCTATTAAACAATGAAGCAAAATCAGAGTCACGTTAATTCTCTAAAGTAAAATATCAAACTAGGAGTATAAGCATTCCTCAGTGAAGATTAGTTAAAACTAAGAAGCCAGGAGTAACCTGGCTTGGAATGTTTCAACATCCCCCAGATAAGAAAATACCTCAGCATGGCCCACATCTTCATTGTGTCAATTAAATGAGGCTATTGTAAAATTTACTTTAGCCTGCTCAAAGGCCCAGTTTATCTTTAACTTTGCCCAAATGCTGCTTTTCCTCCTCCAGCCCCTAATGAAGTAATACGTAACCTGGGCGATTAATGTGGCAAGTAACACAGTGAAAGGCAGGAAGGATCCCATCTTAAAGATAAGATTGCATTTTAACACCCAGGAAGTTAAGAAATAAGATTCTTTATTATTATTATTATTAAGGTATTATTGATATACACCCCTGTGAAGGTTTCACATGAAAAAACAATGTGGTTAATACATTCACCCATGTTATTGAGCCCCCCCCATACCCCATTGCAGTCACTGTCCATCAGTGTAGTAAGATGCCACAGATTCACTATTTGCCAAGAAGTAAGATTATTTAGTTATTTACTTATTTTATTACGGTGTTATTGATATACACCCCTATGAAGGTTTCACATGAAAAAACAATGTGGCTGCTACATTCACCCCTGTTATCATGTCCTGCCCCCACCCCAATGCAGTCACTGTCCACCAGTGTAGTAAGACGCCACAGAGTCCCTATTTACCTTCACTGTGTTCCCCATGATCCCCCCACACCATGTGGGCCAATCATGATACCCCACCATCTCCTCCCTCCCTCCCTCCCCAACCGGCCTCTCCCACCCCTCCCCTTTGGTAACCTAGTCCTTTCTTGGAGTCTGAGTCTGCTGCTGTTCTGTTCCTTCAGTTTTGCATCGTTGTTATACTCCATAGATGAGTGAAATCATTTGGTACTTGTCTTTTTCCCCCTGGCTTATTACACTGAACAGAATACCCTCCAGTTCCATCTACGTTGTTGCAAATGGTAGGATTTGTGTTGTTCTTATGGCTGAATAGTATTCCATTGTGTATATGTACCACATCTTCATCCATTCATGTACTGAAGGACACTTAGGTTTCTTCCATATCTTGGCTATTATTGTAAATAGTGCTGCAATAAACATATGGTATTTCTTGTCTTCTGGCCATTCTGACAGTTGTGAGGTGACTTCTCATTGTGGTTTTGATTTGCATTTTACTGATGATAAGTGATGTGGAGCATCTTTGCATGTGCCTGTTGGCCATCCATATGCCTTCTTTAGAAATTTGTCTTTTCAGATCCTCTGCCCATTTTTTAAATGGAATTTTGGGGTTATTTTTGCTTTTGTGCTTTATGAGTTCTTAATATATTTAGGATATTAACCCCTTATCAGATATGTATGGTTTGCAAATTGCTCTTTCTCAGGATTGCTTTGGTTATACGGTCTTTTGTGGCTCCATACAAATTTTAGGATTGTGTTTTCTATTTCTGTGAAGAATGCCATTGGAATTTTGTGAGGAATTGTATTTACTTTATAAACGGCTTTGGGTTGTATGGACATTTTAATAATATTAAGTATACCAATCCATGACCATAGGATCTCTTTCTATTTGTTTGTATCTTCAACTTTTTTCATCAGCGTCTTATAGTTTTCATTGTACTTCTCTTACACTTACTTAGTTAAATTTATTCCTGGGTATGCTATCATTTTTGATGCTATTGTGAAGGAGGTACTTTTTCTTTTTCAGGTGTTTTATTATTATTGTACAGAAATGCAATTGAGTTCTGTATGTTGATTTTATATCCTGTAACTTTACTGAACTCTTTAATTCCAGCAGTTTTTTTGGTAAAATGTTTATAACTTTCTATATATAAAATCATGTATATTTTTATATGTAAAATCATATGCAAATAATGACAACTTTACCTCTTCTTTTCTGACTTGGATGTCTTCTATTTTTGAATTTCCTAGTTGCTCTTGTTAAGACTTGCAGTGCTGTATTAAATAAGATTCATGAGGCTGGGTATCACATTCTTGTTTCTTGATTGTGGAGGAAAAGCTTTCACCCTTTCACCACTGAGTGTGCTGGTGACTGTGGGTTATCACAGCGCCTTTATTATGTTCAGTTATGTTCCTTCCATATTCAGTATGTTGACAGTTTTTATCATGAAAAGATGTTGTTTTTTAAATTCTTTTTCTCCATCTATTGAGAGGGTCATATCATTTTTACCTTTCGTTCTATTAATACACTCTTTCACATTTATTGATTTGTGTGTGTAGAACCGTTCTTGCATCTGAGGGATAAATCCCTTTTAGTCATGGTGTCTATCCTTTTTAATATGTTGTTGAATTTGCTATTTTCTTGAGAATTACTTCACCTATATTCATCAGGGATATTAGGCTATAGTTTTTTTTCTTTTCTTTTTGTGTGCTTATCTGACTTTGGTATCAGGGTGATACTAGCCTTGTAAAATGAGATAGAAGTGTTCCCTTCTCTTCAATTTTTGGAATATTTTGAGAAGAACTGACCCTAATTCCTCCTTAAATGTTTAGTAGAATCACCAGTGGAGCTATCTGGTCCTGAGATTTTCTGTGTTGGGAGGTCTTGGATTACTACAATATCTATTTTAATCTGTTATGATTTGTTCAGACTTGTTATTTCTTCCTGATTCTGTCTTGGTTGATTGTGTGTTTCCAAGAATTCATTCATTTCTCTTAGGCTATTTAATTTGTTGGCATATAAAAGCTCATAGAAGTCTTTTTTAAACTTACGTATTTCTGTAATGTCAGTTGTAATGTCCCCTCTTTCCTTTCTTAATTAATTTGAATATTCATTTAGTCTAGTTAAAAGTATTCCAGTTTTGTTTCTTAAAAAAAAAAGAAAGAACTCTATTTTTTCATTGACCATTCTATCGGGTTCTTTTGTTTCTATTTCATTTATTTCTGTCCTGATCTTTACTATTTCCTTCCTCCTGCTATGTCTGAGGTTAGTTTGTTCTCTTTTTCTAGCAGCGGCCTGGACTCCAGCTTTGACTGGTGACTGCCTGGGCCCAGAGGCACCGTGGACATAGCTGAATGTGACCCCCATTGCCATCCCGAGGAGCTGTTCACCAAGGTGGCAGCTGCCATCTGCATGACCAACTGCTGGTGCCAGTCACATGACAGATACATTCAGCACCGGGACCCCACCATCCAGATCATCAGGCAATTTAATGACGTGACTAACTTGGTCGTCTCCTCCTGCCTCGGGGCCCCGAGCATGACAGCCCGGGACAGGGCCCAAGTGGTGGAATTCTGGATCCATGTGGCCAAGATGTGCCATGTGACATCCCCCGGGGACCATCCTGGCATCTTGGGACCTGCTCCCTCCTTGGCCAACTAGGATGGAGTCCTGCAGTCTGACCCTGCCGGGTCCTGGGCCCCTCCTGCCAAGGGTGTGCTGACCTGGACTCGCAGGCCCCGGGGGTGGGACAGCCATCCCTGGCCCCTTCCTTGGGTTGAGATACAGTCCTCCACCCAGGAGGGCTGCTCAACAGGTACTGGGTGTGCTGGGCTCCCTGGGTGTCTGTCTCCTTAAGGACAGGAGTTCATAGGGGGACAGAAGCACAGAAGAAGGCCACGCTCTCAGCTCTGTCTTCCCTCCCAGGAGTGCCAAGCCCTCCAAAATTTTGCGTCCCTCCATGCCATTCTCTTGGCCCTGCACAGCCCTACCGTGGGTCGTCTGCAATGCACTTGGGGACGTGTTTCCTGGTAGGTAGTCCTGTCCCTGGGACCAGGTCACCTGAGTGGACCAGAGACACCACCCCTAGGTCTGGCAGTGTCCCCTCAGTCGGCTGGGGCTCCTGGGAGGCGGCAGACCCTGGGGACAGGGGCTTACAGGATGGCGGGCCCTCAGAGCCCCCGTGGGTTAGGCCAGCGGTTCCCCCTCAGGAATCGGGTTTCTTCGTCAGGTGTGGGTTGAAGCCAATGGGAGATGTTCAGCATGTGTTCTGCAGCAGGAGGTCTCTGCCCCAAGGACAGCCACCTGTCCCAAAGCAGATCTGCCCCCAAGAGAACTGGGAATGGAGGCCTCGGGTGCAAACATACAGCCCCCTCCCCAGGCCTCAGGGCCATGGTGGAAAGCCTCATGCAGGCTAGTGG